CTGCCTCGCCGGCCACTTTCACGCCTGAGCAAAAAGCCTGCCGGCTAATCCCTCACCTCCAGAAGCTCACCCTGGAGCCTGCGGTTCTCTGCTCCGAGGCTGCCCGTGTTGGTTGGTCAACCAGACGTCCTGAGTGTCCCTGGATGGTCCTGCTTTCTTTGTCCTCATGCTTAATCATCTATCTAATGCAGCAGCCACTAGCCACATGTAACTTTAAAGCTCTATTAAATTTATGCATTTTCTTGTATTACATATAAATGTATTTTAATAAAAATTAAATAAAATTTTAGCCACCTTTCAAGTGCCCAACAGCCACCTATGGCAAGTGGCCACTGTATTGGACAGCAGACAGAGAACATTTCCATCATTGCAGAACGTTCTGTTGGACAGCCCTGGTCTGTACGGCCAGAAACTCCAGTAGACTGGCATCCAAGCTACATCTCAGACCGTCTCTTCCTTCTAGGTCAAGCTTCCGTGACCTTTCAAGTGAATCCATTTGAGTTCCCAAAAGTTCTATCGGGGCCTGTTGGGATTAGAGGCCACTTGGCAAAGGATGCCCCTGGAAAGGCATCTCCTATAAAATTCACCCTCACCGAGGTTGAATGCCGGCTATTCCTACACGGTGGGGTGGGGGGAAGGGGAGGCACGCAGAACGTCCTTGATATGTGTGATCCTCAGGACGTCATGCCATTGCAAAGGAGAGAACTTGGTGTCCCTTCATTTCAGCCATCAGCCTTGGCAGCCTGGTGTGACAGCTGGATATGGAGTCCAGTGGTGGCAGGAGGGAGGAAGGTGCAGGGCTGGGAGGATCAGGGCTGCAGATGGATGCTCCTGGGCCTGCCCTGCCCTGGGGTGAGGGTGGGAAATGCCTCCGAGGGCCTTGTCTTCTTGCTTTCTTGCCCTCTTAGAGATGAGCCTTTGTTGCAGAGGGAAGAAGAGAAAAGGATTTTAATTTTTTTTATATTTTTTTGCCTGTCTGCAGTCCAGAGAGAAGTCAAACTTTGGGGTAAGAGGTTTAACCAGAAACAGTTTCTTTTTGGAATAGGGCAGTTCTTTATTTCCTGCCAGTCCCTGCAGGCAAACAGCATGCCAGGCTGGCCTGCCACCTCAGCCCTACCTGTCATGTGCTTGGCAAGTCTGACTCGAGTCCTTTTTTCCACTGCCTTCCCCACCCCATCAAATTGCAGTTGAAACCTCTCATTTTTCTGCTGCCTAGATGATTAAAAAGCATGACTTAGTGGAAAAATGTTGACCTCCTTGGGGTCAGCCTCTTAAGCAGCTGTCGGAGATAAGATTGGCTGGCAAAATACTCAGCAATGCTTTGCAAGGCTTTCTTGTCTGTCTGTAAGGAAACAAGAAGCTGTTTGGTTCTGGGTGCTTTTTGTTTGTTTTTGGAGAGAGCCTCAATTTCCAGAGACACAAATTGGTATAATCTGATAATGAAATAGAATCTCTGATGGGTCAGATTAATTATTAAAGTGATTTTTAAAAATTCAATTAAAAGGCTTTGTAAAAAAATTTTTTTTTTTTTAATGGTGCCTACTTTTGCAATTCAGGGAGCAAAGTTCTCCGGCAGCTAAGCAGTATCAGAAGTTCAATGCTCAGACTTCCCCCAAGGAATTAAAAGACTTAATTGTGCAGCTCTTGGTATGAACGGCATTGTTTGGAATTATTTTAATTACTGTGCTAGTATTACAGCCTCTTGCTTGGAGATTGGATATTTACTGTAGTTCTGTTGAAACTGTTCCAAAGAGGACATTACAATTTGAATTTAGCTTATGTCCTCAAAGCATTTTATTATCTTTATATTTGCCAAGAACTTGTACCCATCTAGTGAGACAAAAAGGTCAATTCACTTCTTAAAAGGAGAAACTGAGGCATCTGGGGTTACGCAGTTGATGCCAGGGACACAATGAGCTCGTGCACTCCCATGGCTTCACCTGGTGTGTCGTCATATGGACACTTCACCTGATGGGTCTGGGTCCCAGTTCAGCCACTTCCTAGGTATGTGGCCATGAGCGAGTCACATGCTCTGTGCTTCAGTTTTGTCATATAAAACAGAGGTCACACTTATCCACGGGAATATGTTCCAAGACCCGCAGTGGATGGCCAAAACTGCAGATAGCATGAAACCCTATATATGCTGTTTTTTCCTATGTGTACATACCCATGAAGTTTAATTTATAAATTAGGTACAGTAAGATATTAACAATAATAACTAATAATAAAATAGAAAATACAACAATATACTGTAATAAAAGTTATGTGAGTGTGAGCTCTCTCTCTCCAATGTCTTATTATACTGTACTCACCTATTTTCAGACCGTGGTTGACTGTGGGTAACGGAAATCATGGATGGGGGACTGCTGTATACCACTACTTACTTCATAGGGTTATTGTGAAGATTGAAATTCTGCTCAACAAAAAATGTCTTCCATCATCATCATCATCATTTAGACATTTTTTCCCTCATTTTAATGAAAGATCTAGTCCCAGCTCAAATAGGGTGAAACGAAATCTCATGCTTCACTCCCCTCTTGCCCTCCTCCTCCTCCTGCTGGCCCTGCCCTGCTTGTGGTCCCCTTGCTCTTCCTTAGCTTGGGCGATCGTGGTGAGAGTCAGGGTTTCACTCTTCCAGGGACAGCGTGGCCAGGGCGCTATAGGCACAGTCCTGGGCGGGCAGGTCAGAGGGTAGAGGTGGGGGTGGGCTCTGCACGGGGCAGCTGTCCATCTCCTCTTGACACTTCGCAGCTCTGTCTCGGGTCCTGAAGGCTTAGAATGGCATCTGGACTGGGAAGCTCATCTTCTGGACCTGGCCGCCCAGGCGGCGGCCATCATCCCTGGTGCCCCAGCCATGGCTGGGCAGGCAAGGCCCAGAGTCTTGCTCACCCTCCCACAGATGGTCAGTTTTCCATCTTTGAAATGCGGTGTCGACACAGTGGCACCCTAGTTCATATTTCAAAGGGCACAGACAATGAAAACAGCAGATCTAGGTTTGAATCCTGGCTCTGCCATTTGACCCACAAGTACGGGGCCTTACTGCTCCGAGGGTGGCAGTGAGACCTGAACAAGGTGATGTCTGAAAGAGCTCTGTCAGCTGTAGCACGCCACCCCCCATCGGGGTTCCCCTAGCCCCCTCCCAAAGCTCGTGATTGGTGGGCACCGTGGGCCCTCATCCCCTGCCCCCCACCCCGTGAGGAGCCCTAACTCCTCATGAGAAGTGAGGAAGGCCCCAAATAGCTACTCCCTGCTCTGCATGTGTGAGCTGCACACAGCACCATCCAAGGGCAGAACTTGAGGGCTGGCCACGGCGGGAAAAGAGCCCGGGGTCAGCTCCCTGTGCCTGCCCTGACCCTCAGGGCCCAGCCCCTCCCAACTCGCTTTCCTCCTGCTGCCATTACCATACCTTTTATGAGCCTCATTAAGTCTTTAATGATGCCTGGTTGTGCAGCTGGCTTAGGGCTTAATCCCCAGCAATAGGCCTTTATTGGATAAATGGCTAATAATCACTTGTCTGCAGGGATTGGGGCAGCTTCGGTGAGGCCCATGATCCCTGGCAGCCCCACGTGGTCTGTGACGTGGCCTTGGCCGGAGCGGCACTGCCTGGGGTTGGGGCTGCAGGGGGACATGCACCTTCAGGGCACCATAGGAGGGCATTTCTTCTCCCCGCTGGGAACGGAGGACACCTGTCTGTGGCTGTGGGCCTGTGTCCATCCAGACCAGGAGCAGGCAGCCCCCAGGATCCCTTCAAATGTGTCTCCACCTGCTCCAGGGTTTGCTTTCCTTTCTTTTGCTGGGAACAAACTGTGACCTTGAGCAAGTCTCCTGACCCCTCTGGGCCTCCGTTTCTGCATCTATCAAATGGAGAGGTGGGAAGAGATGGCCTTGAAGGTGCTGAGTGTCGTGACTGTGTGAGTCCCAGCATTCCAGACAGAGGCTCCTCTATCTGGCTCTCCAGCGTGTCACTGAGGGCTGTGAATGGCAAGAGACCCAGCAGTCCAGCAGATTAAGTGCTTAAGCTGCTGGGCAAAGAATTGGGTCAGCTGTAGTCACAGGGTGGTGTGTGTGAAGGGAATCCACAGAGCCAGGATTGGCCCTTGATTTTATGGCCTGGCTTGGGGTTTCTGCCAGCTCTGGGCAGGACACACAGTAGGCATTAAAAAAACAAAGCCTCGTTGACGGGACTCTGGGAAGAGAAGGGGACTCTTCCAGGTGTAGAGTTGGGGAGAAGCCAGGAATTGCCCACAGGTGAAAAAGGAAGGGGCCTTGGATTTTGTTCCCAGCCTGCGTGGGCAGGGTGGGTGGGCCTTCAACTCGGAATTGGCTTTGACTTTACAGTTGCGAAGGGATCAAGACCCAGCTACTTGAGGGCAGGCTGGCATCGGGACCGGGGAGTCACACAGACCTGGGCTTGGATGTCATTCCCACCCCTCACTCATTTCCAGGCTGTCTGGTCTGGGACAACCGACTGCCCCCAGCCTGAGTTTCTTTAAGAGAGCGTTAGCATCACCTATTTTTCAGCATGGCTGTGGGTTGGGAATTATCTACGTAAAGCCCCTGGGAGCCTGCTTACACTTGGTGCTAGTGATTACTCTGGGAGGAACTTAATGTTATGGCACCTGTTGTATGCTTTGCATTGGTGTAAAATGCTTGCTGCAGAAAGAGACGAGACCTACTGTGACTGGCATGATTTTGAATTCTTTTGTCTGAAAATAAAACAAAACAGAGTACAAACAGAGTCACACCAATGTTTAGACTTAGTGGCACTGCCCCAAAACTTTCAGCTTCAGGATTCAAAGTCTGAATGAGGGATGATTTCCCATGTTGCCCCAGAACTGACTGCCCTGGCTCCTGCCTTCCAGCCCATAGCACTCCAAGAGCATAGCACCGTCCCTGCCATGCGGCGGGTGCTCAGAATGCCACATGGGTGTGAAAAGAAGCAACTGAATTTCTCTTCTCAAATAGGTGCATGACCGGTGCCTGCTCTGTTTTTATTTCAGATCTTCCCCGATCCGTCAGACTTCGACCGCTGCTGCAAACTGAAGGACCGCCTGCCCTCCATTGTGGTGGAACCCACAGAGGGTGAGGTGGAGAGTGGGGAGCTCCGGTGGCCCCCCGAGGAGTTCTTGGTCCAGGAGGATGAGCAAGACAACTGCGAAGAGACAGCGAAAGAAAACAAGGAGCAGTAGAGTCCCTGCGGACAGACCCCTGTGGGGTCACACTAGCCAGCATATGTTCCTGAACTGTGTTTTTCCCATCATGGTGGAAGAAGAGAGTGAGCCACAGTAGTTCTGAAAATGTCAAACGAGGCTTCCGTTTTGCACCTGCAAATCACCGAGTTGGTTTTCTTTTCTTTGCTTGTCTTTTCTTGAAATCTGCCGAGCAGTGGAGCCCTCTGACGACTCGCAAGGCCTTCTGAGAAAGGGAGCTGCTTAGGGCCGGGGGTGGGGGCGGGGGAGAGGGTGCTGTTTCCAGATCATTATCTGAACTCCAGTGGCCGGAGGCAGTGGTGGGATTCCAGTGGGCTCTGGGGCAGGGGGCATGGGGGAAGTACAAAGCCAGCAAGGAACATTTGGGGTAAGAAAACAAACAAACTCGAGGCAAAACAGAAAATACACGTTTTTAAGAAAACATTGAGCAGAGAGCTGCAGCCAGGAAGTGCTCAGCAACCACTCACTCTGGCCATGGGAAAACCAAGTCTTCATCTCTCTCCGGTGTCACCCGCCCCACCCTTTGCTCTTGTTTCAGGTGTGTTGGTCTGCGATGGGGAGGAGGGTGAAGGACAGCTGAGCGACTGGCTGCTCGCACAGCCAGCTGGAGGGGATGTGCAGGAAAGAAAGGCCACTGTCCCTCTCCAGGGCCTCTTTGCCCCCAGCTGTGGTGGGCTCAGTAGCCCCCGAGATCAGGAGGTTTGTAAGAGGCAGTGCTTTTGAGCTTTTCTCCCTGACATGTCCTTTTTGCCTCCAGCACGCTGGGGAGTAGCAGAGCACTTCCTGCCCCTGTCAGAGGCCTCAAGGCAGACACCTGGACGTGGAGGTCCCTCCGTCCATTGCGCCTGCCCAGGACTTGCTCTCAGAGTCAGAGCGGAGGCTGGGAGCAAGCGGGCTCACCGCCCTTCTCTGTGCCCCCACCTTCCCAGCCCGCAGCCAGGCAGATGGATCCCCACTGTACGTCCCGCCGGCCCGGCTGGCTGTGCTCCCGTGGCCGCTCTTGCTCTGTTTTTCTTATGAAAGCTGAGGCAACCTTTTCTGTTTCTAGTTGGGGAGGTGAGCTTTCACCCAGGTCCCAAGAGCTGCGCGGCCTGGGTGTTACTGTGTGGGGGTGACAAAGCTCAGGTAGCAGCCCTGGGATCAAGTTTGAGACTGAAGGGTGTCATGAGCCCCCCGGCTGCCCCCATGTTGTTCCCGGACACAGGTGTTCTAAGGAAGGCGTGGCGAGGGGGCTATGCCATCCCCACTGAACGGTGGTCCTCCCTCCCTCACCAGCTGGACGAGAACGTTGGCCGCTGGACTGAGAGCTTCTTATTGTAGTTAACAACCTTCTGGAGTGGCAGGTTGCAGGAAAAACTCTTCAATCCATCTCAGAGCGGGACTGCGTGGCCAGGAGGTGGACTTAGAGCCTTGAGCCAGCCAGGGCACCCGCTGCAACCCCTCAGGTCCCCAGTCAGTCCAGTTGACCCCGGTTTTGGACTTGTGTGTATAGCTGTATCTTATACCTCAAGGGCAGTGTGGCTCTGGGGAATGTTGGGGCAGGGGCGGGGGACAAGGGGCGCTGTTGACGTGGTGTCAGCAGTCGGCAGGAGTAAGTTCTGGGAAGCCGACGGTCGCCCTCACCCCTGCTTCCTCCCTCTGTTGTCTGCCTGTGTGACACACACCGATGATGGCAATAACTTCTTCCAGCTCCTCGCAGGAGTGGGAGAGGCCTGCAGCCTGCGCCGCGAGGAG